ATTGTGTTTGCCTGTGTGTAGTGTCGGCCCGGGTGGGCGGGTGGGGAGTAGAAATGTCGGGTGTCCTTAGTGTGACTCATGAATTCCAATAACCTCAGGGAGACTCCTCCCTGCTGTCACCCTCGGGTTTAATATGGTGACACAAAGACATTTAGAACCCACTGAACTCATCGAATCAACCAGGTTCATAGCCTGTTTTCCTGCACCGCAATGCACAGAGAAAGAATACATTTAGGAAGGTCTTTTAGACTTTTGATTTCCTTAAATTTAACAAATGAACTGATCAAAAGCTACTGAAAAGTTCCTAAATAGACCTCAAAGTAACATTTCTTTAACTGCTGTTTCCAAGATTTAGAACTTTGAATCTCAACTTTTAAGTCAACATGGACAAGAAGTCATTAAAGTGTTAACATTTAAACATCTACAACTGGGTAAAGTACACCTGCTGAGGAAGTTACTACATGGACCTTAGGTAAGACTGTTTTGTCAAATACACCTCTCTACTTTTAAAACTTTTTTACAACCTCTCCTACAATATGTAAAAGGACATTTGCTGCACATTTGTTGTTTGGATGCTCAAGAATGGCATTAATGACTGCATATTCTGTGTTTGTGTGTTATCACAGGCAAGGCCAACCTGAGTTCTCAGACACAGTCAAGGACCATGACATCACGCTCACTGATACCACCAACGCCTAGCTCAAGAGTATGAGAGCACACATGCTTTTGTGAGCCCAACTCATATGATGCCTGTCTGCATGTGCATATCTGTGCATGAATGTGCATCTTGTTCCTTTTTGTTAATTTCAGTGCTCCTTTTTATGGTGTCAATGTAAATAGGTGTCAGGATGGTAAACCGTGTATAATAAAATGTATATTTGTTTACAATGGTAGACTAAGTGTATTGTCCGCGTGCAGATAGCTTTGTTTTGTGCAACTGTGCCAGGGTTCATTATATTTGCTCACAGGGCCAACAGGTTGAAACAGCTTTTGATTAAAAAGAGCTGAAACAGATGGAGGGTGGGATGGGAAGATAAAGACAGAAAAGAGAAAGGGAGAGATTGAAAGAGGAGGATCTGGGGAGATGGAGTGATATGTAGTGAGGCATGGACTGATAAGAGCACTGAGAGAGGAAGGCAACAGATAAGAGAAGACCTATTGGAAGAAAGAAGAGGAGGAATCTGAAAGATATGCAAGGAGACATTATAAAAGATAATGTGGTTCTGACACTGAAAATAAGTCATATTCTCTTTTTAGCACAGTGAGCATAATGACTGCATGATACAAACACTATGTTTGCAGGGTTGGTCTCTAATGACATATTTTACTTTTAAGTTAGGTGTGTGTGTCTGCATGTGAGTATGTGTGCATATTTTCACACATGAATAAAGTGTGCGTGAGTAATATCATTGCATAACTTTAATCCTAAAGTCAACAGGGTAAAAAAAGATAACAGTGCACTTAAATCTCCGGAGTACTTCAAACATTCTCTTGTACTCACAAACTTGTGCAACACCTTCTCTGGAACTCAGTGTGTGTTTATGTATTTGTACAACAGTGATTTTAAACATGCATAGTAGCCCAGGTGTACCATGGAATTAAACATTAAAATGAATGTGAATATGCATGGATAAAACGAGTCAAAACTAAGTATTTAGTTGCGCTCCTCTAAAACTCCAGCAGAGGGCAGTCACAAATTGCCAGCCAAACATTTTCTCGTATCACGATGCATCAGAGCGTCGTTCAGAAAGGCTCACTATTAAACTCAAAATTGAGAAAGACTGAGATAAGTTGACACTTTATATTCAGGAGATATTCTACTATATTTGCGAGTCACGTTAACACGGTTAAATGTGTTAGCTTACTGCTTGTGTCTGGGTGAAAGTGTCTGACTACTGTCTGAGCCTGCATATACATGTACATGTTTCCCTACCCACAAGTGCTGCTTGCACATACACACACGTACAGAAGTGTTTAAAGGGTTTTATTCTATCTGGGTCATCTGATCTCTTCAGCAGAGATGAAAACGTGTTCAGGGCAGAAAGGCCAAAGAGTGTTTACTTTGTTCTGTGTGTTTACATGTGTATTTGTGCGTTTCCTTTTTCTACAAATACACTCTGTCCCCCTGCCTTACCCCATCCAACCTCTTTAATGCACACACAGACACACTTCAATGGCAGGCAAAAAGAACGAGCAACACGCTGAACAAACACAGGAGGAAAAAGCTTGGGGGGAATTCCTTGAAATGAACTAAGACCTTCTGTCAGAGCCCTAACTCTCTCTCTCTCACACGCACACACACACACACACATTCAAATACAAACAGGTACACGCACGAGCACATTCACATCAACAGTGGTAAATGGATGAGTGAATGCTGCAGAGACCCTATCAGCTGGAGGTTCACCCCTGCACATGGGAACACAGCTAATCAGCACCAGTCAATCAAATAATGGAACTAAGCTCTCATATTCCACATAAGCTGACTGTAAATGGACAAACACAGGGACACAAAGACGTAAAGATTGTGGGCACAGTGTACTTTTGAAGGGTGGCATGCAGTGGATTACAGGACTTTTGGATGACTGCAGCATCTAACAACCAATTCTGTCTCAATAGCAGCTATAACAGCGTCTTTGTGCAACAAGATCATTAAGAGATCATCAAGAGATCGTTAATCTTATCTGATATTAGCAGAACTTAAAGATGGCTTGAGAACTCTATCAGGAGGATCTTTATTGAGCGCCAGTGGCAGTGTTCAAAAAAGGTCATGCCCTCTCATCTCTAAAGCTCCTGTGATAGAACGATTAAACACTCAATTGCTTGAATGATGGAAATGCTGACCCTCTGAAACCGTGCAACATGAAGAAACTGCTAAGATGAAGCATGTTTTTCAGCCAGTGTCTGAGGGCAAAAACGTTGAGAGTAACTGTCCCAGAAATGTTAACAACCATCTTTTCCTTCTCTTGAGAGCACTAAACCAATCATTTCCTGACAAGTACATCACAGGGAGTTCCCAAATTTTGGATTAGTTTGACAGATGGCAAGTGTAGACAGCTCAGGGATATGTGCAACAGTGAGACAGATTTTTCTTTGATTTAAATTTTACTAAACCACACACTAACTATATGTATGTGTTTAGTAAAACATATTTAGTCAAGGCCTAGTGTGGTTTTGAAACACATACTGAGAAGCTGCTCCAACACAAAGAACTCTGATAAAAACTGTTACTGAACGACTAATAAAACTCCCATTTTCTAAAGAACTGTAAAAGCATATTGGTGCTTTGAGGCTGCCTTCTGCTCATCTTTCCTGCTTAATACTTTTTATTCTCCCATTCAGTGAGAAAACAGAGACTTTGTATCATGCTGGTATTTTGAATCTTGACCAAATAGGGTTAGTGCAGCTGTCGTCTTCTTACAGTATCAACTTTTATTTTGTAACAAGCCACTTTCTTTGTCATCACTTGCTGGTTTTCCCTCCTGTCTATCTGCTCTGTCTCACGGTATTGATACAGCACAGCTGTGTGACGGTGTCTATGTCATTCATATACACTCTTAGACTGGACTAGACCCAGCAACTGCTTCTCACAGGTTGTGATCAGCACAGCACTGCAAGTTTGGTTCAGACAGTTTCAGAGGTGTTTTATGGGGAGCAAAGGTCACTAAAATGTAGATTACTTAATGTGTGTGCAGCCAGACTTGAAGTCACGACCTCCCCCTCCATGTTATTCTTTTGTTATAAACACACACAGGAGGAGTGAGAGGTGAAACAGGCCTCAGGGGCAGTTGTCCAGGTTAGAACCTAATACAGTGGTATTTTCATGTTTCCCTGCCAAAAGCAACCCTGCAGCTCTGTGCATGCCTCTGTGTGTGTAATCAAAGGTACTGTAGCACCGTGACTTTAGCCTCAAGGCCACGTGAAAAGTAAGCATGGCGCACCTGCAGGAAGTTAGATAGGCAAGAGGCTCAGGGAATCTGAAGCCTTCAGCTTCAATGAAGGAGGGATGCACTGTAGCAATAATAGAAGTCCAACTCTTAACTGGCTACTAGCACACAGTTGTCTGACACATGCATGCTCCTTATTTGGTTTTCAAAACCAAAAAAAAGAAACTGACAGCATTTCCTCTTCCTCCACAGCTTCTCTTGCACCCACTCTGCACCCTCATTTCACTTTCCCCCTTCCTTCACCAGTGTCTCCACTAGTGTCTGTTGCTGCCATGTCATCATTTGTCACACAAACAAATTGAAAACAATTGTTTTGTCTATTTTAAGTAACACTGTAGACTACCACAAGACAATCAGGCAATATTCCTATTTGCCATTTAAGTATTTCAATATAAAATTGATCGTTTAAAATCCACTGTGCAGAAATAGAAAGGCTAGAGCTTTAAGAAGTCACAAACAAGCTACAGTAATAACAGCTTTTAACACGCTTAAGATAATATAAAATAAAATTGAAACTAATTATAAGAAGAAGACTTTCCTGCAAGATAGTCACTATATCGCACAGACACAGTTTCAGCAGTAAAGATACACAAAACACACAAGCAACATGCACAACAGCAAAAAGAATGAAATCATAAAGACATCTCACCGTCTCTCCTGACGTTGCCCCTCATCACTTTGGCGGTGGAGACCTGAGCCCTCGAGACATCGGTCATAGTCCCTAACAATAAAAGCATCCACATCTGGAAAACCACCGGTCCATTCATGGTGATAGCAAACTCTACAAAACACGCTTTAAATAACAGGAAAATGTCGTTTCAACCCTCCAGTGGCTCAAATGAAAATATGATTTACTTCAAATATCCCGTGACCGAGAAACTTTTTGGTCAAAACTAACTTTCCATTCAGCAACTTTCAGAGCCTCCTCCTCCACCCGCAAATGAGAGCCACTTGTTAACCGCGGTGCCTGACTCCTGGAGCACACGATGTCCCGTCTTGTGCCAAAGAACCCCCAAATCCAAGTGCTTGTCTTCTTGTCAAAGTTATGCGCCCACAAACACCGAAAACAAAACTTTGATGAGCAGGTGGAGGTTAATATAGCTCCGTTCACGGTCAGACATGAGCTTACAGGCGCCGGACTTCTTATCGCCGAGGAGCAAATAAATTCTGTTCAGTCAGTGAGAAATATCCCGCATAGTTTACTAGTTTCTATCTAACGCGTCTGCGCTATGAAAGTCTGCGCGTCAAACTTTGCCAACTGAGCGGTGCGCGCTCACGGTGTGTGTGTGTGTGTGTGTGTGTATGTAATGTGGGTGTGTAACTGAGCAAGATGCTGGGGCGGGAGGTCAGACAGGGAGAGAGACAAATACACTTTAGTGGGACTTTTAAATCATCCACATTAGCCATTTCTTTAGAAAAAGGTCTATCTATCTATCTATCTATCTATCTATCTATCTATCTATCTATCTATCTATCTATCTTATCTATCTAATTTTATTATAGTCATTTTAGTATTGGGACACTTTCTTTCTCCTTCAAAGTGAATTGAGGAAATGCGCCAAAGACAGAACATTTTTTGTAGAAAACCCTCCGAGGGGAGCACAGGGAGGGTCACCACAGTCAGGCACAGAGGAGGAAATGTACCATGAGCCTACTCAAGAGAGGGGAAGTCTCTCCAGTTGAGTGGTAGGCAGACAGCTAAGGAAACAGCTGACATGAGGATGTCATGTGGATTCTGGTGACAGAGGGGAGGACATTACATACCATTTAATACTGTATGTGTTAGTCCTATAGGCAGACTATGTAATGGAGGCACGTCATGATACAATCATGTTAGAAATACACTGTTAAAGATGCTGTTGTTTATTTATTGTTTATTAAAGAGTAAATGACCCCCATCCCTCTGTATGTCCCCTCGCCCCCGCGATATTATCTTCTTCACTGTTTAACATAAGCCGTCGCTTCCTGACTAAAAACAACGCAGATGACATGATTGCACTTGTTGAGGATTCTAATAAGTAAATTCTGGAAATGGATTGCCAGGAATCATTCAATAGGCAGCTTTGTGCAAGCCAAAGGCAGCCCATTTTAGACAGGCGGTATGTGTGAAGTAATTTTTGTAAGTACATTTCAAAGTGATTTATCCACCTTTGTAAAATGTCAAGGTGTTACATGCTGTATTTTGCAGCAAAACAAAGCAGTGCAGTCAACGCTTCCACTGAGTTTATAAATGTGTCTCTGACCAGACTGATTCCCCTCAAGGCACACTCATAGGCAAGGTTTATTCATCGCCCCTTTCACTTTCTGTTTTTCTCACTCATCACACACTTACCATCAGAATCTCCCCTTCACTCCCATTCCTTGTCACCCATCTCCATGCGTGCCATCACATCTCATTTTAAGTTATTTAGACTTTATGGGATGGGAACTTGCCAACTTGAGGTTTCTGCTGACTCAACACAAAGCCTTCCCATTACCCCAGCAATTGGCTAATGAGTAATGCAGCACCTTTAAAACTCAGAACCACTTAGGGAATGATATAGGTTATTAATAGAGAGGAAATTAATTAAAATTAAAAGCTATTAGACTACCCTGCTGAGCTTCAAAGGCGTATGCACCCGGAGAGTGAATTTGTAAGTACACATAAGGATCGCCAGCAGGCACAAATGTATCATACACATGCATGCTCATGATGCACACACATGCTCACACAACACAAACCCCTCACACCCTTCCCACACACACAGAGGTACATTTGAATGTTCTTTTACCCCACTGAAACTGTAACCTGCCATAGGAAACATATCTGGACATCAACACAGATCAAAATACACTAAATTGTAACAGGAGGATGTTTGATAATACTGCTTGAATATAGAGTTAGAGCATTATTACGATTGAATGTATTACGGTGCAATGTTGGAAGCCGTTTATCTTACTTTTTTATGTGTGTGTTGGTGAGTGTGTCCACAGCATGTGTCTGCTTGAATGATCTTACATTAGTTTTGTCTTCCCTGAAGCGACCTCACGGTGCGCAGACATACTGTGTGTGAGAGTATGTGTATACGGGGGCGGCAGGCTTGCTTTGAGGCGGATATGTCAACCACTAAATTAAAAGGTGAAGCTTTAATCCCCCATCACCGATAGACCTGTCGTAACTGCTGAAGTGCCCTTGAGCAAAAGCTCTGCGCTGTACTGTCTGGTGCACTGAATAGACTGAATACTTCAATGCTGAAGTAGGACACTTATTCAGTCTATTCCAAACATGTCTTTATATTATTATATTGCTTAATAAATACCACTCCAAAAGAATATTATTCAATTTAAAAATAGTTTTAGAGTTTTATGCCGGGTTGTAACTTAGTATTGTGTTGTTCATGAACAATCAACTCCTTTAAGTAAATGATAAGAGTTGAGTCCAGTCTAAGATCTGATTTCTTAAATACAAGACAGAATTATGATCCTATAATGTATTGCTATCATACGATACAAAAATGTTATACCTACTTGTAATAACTTTAGACCCAAGCAGAGACTTTTGTATGCTGTGCTGGCTGCCAACATGAACTTATTAACAAAATGTAAGCATAATGTAAAATTATAGTATTCTAGAAATGATAAGGTTAAGCATAATTACATGTGTTTAATGTGCACACATACCAATCATAGGTCAAAACATTGTTACATTTATCTGAATTATAAAAGCCAGAAGTGGTAGTAAATGAAGACACGTTTGGGAGCCGATACAGCCGGCTCTTATTGCTGAGCTAAATGATCTGGCTCACTAAAAAGATACTTTTTTTCCCGTCACTATTGTAATTTCAGTTATCTGAGTGTGTGCTTTGCTCTTTAACAGATTTAATCAGTTTAACCATATGGTCTTGGCAGAGGCAGATCAATATACTCAATGCCTTACTTGGTGATAAGCATACCGTAAATGGCAGGTGAGTGCGGGTAGCTGTGACTGGCTACAATTTAAAGTCATACAGATTAGTTTTCCTGCATCCACTGTGGCTCACTCGTTTTCAACATTTCTTAACCTGAGCTATGCAACAAAGATGTTGCTGTTTATCAGCTACACTGTATTCATTTGTAGGTTACAAGTTAAGCAAATTTTTGGGGAATAAAATTCTGACTATATGAAAATATTGTTGTAAAAGCAGATGAAAGAATAACAAATAGTGCTGTTAATATTGTATTACTAGTGTTTAATCTATGTGCTCTAATTCTTGAGTTCACCAGAACAGACTTGAGTGGATGAAGAAGATGATTCCTTACAGAATGTGGGCAGGCCTTAAAAAACAGTGAATGCTGCGATTTCTTGCTCTCATGTGTTAACAGCAGTCCCTCCTGTGGAGAACTCTATGTCCCTACCTTTGTCCCTTGTTTTATAACTTTTCATTTTCTCTTGTGAAATTTGTTATTTCTCAATTTGAGTGCAGATTGCTGTGAACGTGACATGAACAGGCTCAATTACTCGGTGATCATGATGATATAAAAGCCTCAATTCTTGCAGTGACTAATGGGTCTGGTCACCAAACACAAAAACAAATATTTTGTCACTTAGACCTACTGGTATTTAGCAGATGGTTTTGGTTAAATAGCCAAACAAATTTTCTCACATAACCTCAGTAGAAAACGGAAGTGACACAATTACAATGGTGGTAAAAAGGAATGTTATCTGTTTTGGTCATCACATTAAAAAAGACCATGCAGAATACACTTGCAACAGTCTTCATTTCTTCAGTAGGTCAAATGAAAACTGTTCACAGTGAGGTCTTATTTAGAGCAACACTATTTCTAGAAGGAGATGTTAATGTTGATTTCTTTCCACTTGTCACTTTCTCCCTGTCCCTCCCCTCCAGCTAAATTTTTGTTTTCCCATTCCCTTTAATGCTATTCTTCACTTCTCCTCCAGATGCTGTTAGACTTTTCCCTCCTTTCACCATCACCTCAGTGCCCCACCCTGCTACACACCTGTTCTCACGTCCATCATATGCTTTTCAGTTAGCTAGACTTCGCCGCACACCTCCACAGCTGCATCTCATTCCCTCATCAGCCACTCACCATTTATACCAGCCTTTTTATAGGCCTTTTTCACAGCTGCCATGTTGACCAGAATTAGTAGGATAAACACAGGTGTTACCAATGTTTCTAATTAAGGTTCTGTTCCATTTAGTGTAGCATAGCCTTTCCAGTGAGCCGCAAGCCACAATAGCAGCAACTTGACCTTTGTTTGACCTGAATGGAACCTTAATTAGTATCATTGGTAACACCTGTGTTTACCCTACTATTTCATGCCAAACTGGCTACTATGAACGTAGTCTGTTGGACTTTTTGGATCTATTTTCCAGTGTTGGACTACTGCCCTCTGGTTTTGACCCAAGCCTGCCTCACTATCCCGTACAACCTTTGTATCTTGATTTTTTTTGCAGTAAACTCATTGAACAATTAAATAAATAATTGTGAATTAAAGCTAAATTGTCCCTTTAATGTATTGTTCTTGCCTTAAGGAATGCATGGAAATACTGTGAATACCCATTAATTTCTGATAATAATGCATTATTGCAAGTTTTTTATGTACCTTAGTACAAAGTACCTTATTTACTATTAAGTAATTCCAAAGACTTTAGACAAACAAGACTCATTTCTGAGACATAGGTGCTATCCACTTCTCTCTCTTGTTCATACTCACTCACTCTCTCACATACACACATTGTTATAATAGAGTTTCTGGTTCTGGTCCAACCGGGCTGGTTTCCCAGAATTGGTGTGGTCCTGATAATATATCCATGAGTGTGTATGTGTGTCATCTGATAAAAGCCATATTTAATATATGAATAACAGACCTCCTTGGGTGGTGTTTTGGGGGGTAGCGTCTGATCCACCATGATATGAGGACTTTGTGAAAGATGAAGACCGAGTGGGAGAAAAGATGGGAAAGAGGGTAAAAAAGAGGATGATGGGATAAAAAGTCAGGGAAGGGGAGAACAGATAGAGATCTATTGTTGCATTTGGGAATGAAATACAAATGCAGTAATCAAAATGAGGGCAAATTGTTCTTTTTTGGAGAAAGAGAGGACAGAAAGGAAAATAAATTAAAATTAAGGGCTTGATTTAGAGAGACAGATGGTGTAGTCAGTCAGTCAATCAGTCATCTTATCATACTTTTCATGCCACATAAGTAATAATGTATCTGTCTCAGACTCTCTATAATATGATTTTGAAGACAATAATGTAACAGCACAGTGTGTGTGTTCACTCATT